CAAATGGATCAAATCCACCTGAGCAGCTCTGTATTTATGCACGAACTGAAGGAAAGGTGCAAGGCTTTTACGGAGATGACAGAGAACATATGTGCATGTTGGTAAAACTGTCTGTCCAGAAGAACAAAAAACACACTGGCACCATTTCAGACGGCAAGAATCTACGAGCAGGATGTGGTGCAACGTCACAAACAAAATCACTCAGTGCATGCAAGCTGCAAGAAAGCCAAGCGGTGAATCATTTATCTGTTAGACTAGCAGCTCAGAGACTAAAGACGAGTTACAGTGGTTGCACTCATTATTAAGCCAAATCTAGGACCTGGCAACACATGAAGCAGCTCTTACAGGATCCAAGTCTGTGTTTGTCAAACATCTATCAGTGCAAAATATTGGAAAAAAGTCAGGCTGACACACCAGGAGTGTTAAAGTTTTAGTGAGGCAAAGCAGAGCAGGCACACAGCACCCAATCAGTGGACCTGAGGGAAGACTGCAGGACCTCAGAGCTACAGGCTGACTCTTGGTTATTAGATGCAGCAGATTGAAGCCCGACATGGATGTTGGAGAAACGTAATCCACCCAGCACTAGAACCAAACACCCCTTAGCAGGGTTGCAACCAAGGACTGGGCTGTATGAAGAGTAGCAGACAGAGGGTGAAACAACATCACGAGCAAAGTTACAAACGAGTCTCAGATGAGATGACCTGATGACCCGACAGAGGATGTCAGACTGCTGCAGGACGAGACCACAGGCAGCATCTTATTTAACAGTCGTTTACAGCCTTAAACATTCATGTACATATGAGCCGTAAATTCTCTGAGAGAGGTTATCACAACATGAGCAGCTCTGCCTCGATCGAGTACGGGATAACATCAACGAGGCTATCACATTATAATTATCACTTTCAGAAAAAATATTATTACAGAAATGTTAACTTAAGTAAAGAACTGTGCAAAACTCGGTGCAACGACTTATTGAAACATGCAAACATAAATAAAATACATCATATACGGCACAAGCGACGCGTACAGAGCGCGACGCCCTTTATTCTCCGCACATCCTGAACGCTCTCAGGCAGTTAATGTCTTGAAGCCGTCTTCAGGAACCCGTCTCTACACTTATTAAAGGACATTACGAGGCTTTCTGGATGTTGACTCCCTTTGATTACGTGATCCCAGACCAATAATGTTCCATCGTGTGTTTGAGATCAGTCGTGCTGAAGACTGAATCCAGTCAGAAGCTTTTCAAAGGATACTTGATGGGGATTATAATCTGACAGTACCAAACACCACAAGTCGACAAACCGCCCCAAACAATGACACAGCCTCCCCCACGTTGTTCTACAGGTGGCTGTTATACCTCATTACTAATGACAATTGAACTAAATATTTCACATTCAGATTCCTCGTCCATGACGCCGACTTCATGAACCTTTGTGAGAGTTTGTCGCTGATTTTCAGCAGAGATCTTGTGTGATATGGTTTACCTCAGCGTTTCTGACACGCTGCTAATACAAAGTGCATCAATGCCTTAAAACTGGTTCTTTACCAAGCTGTCCGTCCTCTGTAGACACAATGTTGGATTAGATCTTTTTTTAAAGATGAACTCGGTGCAAAAAGTGCTGTGAAAACAGATACAAGCTTTCAGAAAGTGTAGAAAACTGCTCACATATGTCTTTAATGTCAGGGAGGCGCGGGCTGTTCTTTGTAGTGATATTCAGCTGCTGACAACTGTCGCACAGCCTGTTAGGAGGCCCTCGATTGTGCTTCTGCGGAGGGTTGAGGAGATGTTGGCGTTCAAGCCAGACCTCCTAAGCCTCCTTTAGAAAGTATAAGCGCTGATGTGGATGGGCAGGTGTTCTTCTCTTTGGTCCAACATCAACTTCTTTGTTTTGCTGACGTTGAGAGAAACGGTTGTTGTCCTGGCACCAGCTGTTTAGTGCCTACACCT